ACAATCACAGATTCTCTGTGTTTCAGTTCTCTTCAGTGCTCACTCAGTACTTGATATAAGAGTTACCTCTCATAAGGAAAAGAAAGATTTATTAGGTCGATCAGCAGGCTGTTTACCCCCACAGAAACCATCTAGTTCTGACTTTCCTGACAAAAGCATTAACACTTTTCCAGGTATCTCCCTTGTCATCTCACAGACTGCATGGATAGGAGGTAATTTAAATTATTCTTATCTGGCTCCTGATGGATTCCTTTACTTGTCTCAGCTCATGTTAAATCTGCTTCCCTTCAGCAGCCTATTTTTTCAGGCTTCAGATTTAGCTCCAGTAAGTGCAGCAGCAGCCTTTTCTTCCTCTTCTACAAATTGATGTGAGTCTCTTGTGCAACCCTGTTGCAGTTTACTGAGGCAGCAAAATATTCTATTTTCTGCTTGGAAGAACAGCTTCTGCATGGCTATTTGGGCTGCAAGCCTCAGGGCGTGAGTGGCTCTGACAGAAGCAATGGACCGCATTCAGAGGCCCATGCTCAAGAGCCAGAGGGGATGATGGAAGAAGAATCTCACCATTTTGCAGCCCCATCTGGCATAAAAATCCAAGGATGGGACAAAGTACATGCCTGGGGCCTTACCTCTAGCATAGCAAAAGAATTCATTTGCTACAGCACCTCTGAAGAGCCAGAAAGCATCAGATGGCAACCGATGGAAGTCCAATTTACAGTCTAAGTCACTTCAAACGGGTGTTACACAGGAAAAAGTCCAACTTGGGCAGCTGGGCTGGCTTTTCTGTATTTTCTCTACCTGCTTCTGCTGGTCTTAATGGACATTGTTCTAGAGGCAGAGGAGTTCTGACTGTATCATGATGGATTACTTGAATGGTCAGTATCAACACAGAAAGCCCTTACCTGCTTCCCATACTTACCTCAGCTGCTGTAAATATGAGCTGATCATGCAATCTTCTTTAGAATTGGATGACTTATTAGCCAGGGATAAGAGTCTCTCTCTGATAACACTGTATGTCCCCAACCACAGGAAGACTGGGATGGTTGATATTGTGCAAGAAGAACAATGGCACAGAAACTGTCTTAGATGAGCACCTAGCAAGACATATCATCTTCAAAGGTCCTAAACCAGAAAAGCAAGTGCTGTCTTATGGTCTCTTTTTATGAGCTCTTCTAGTCATCAAGGCAACACAGAGCAGTTCTAGAGAGAACTAACCCCAATCCATCACACTCTTTGGAGTCATTCCTGAAAAGAAGGCAGAAAACTAAAACAATAAAATGACATTTTGATGGAGTCTCACATCTTGCAGTTCTTTGATCCAAACCAGCTCAGATGACAAATACAGGACTTTAGGGACTAAACAAAATGCTTAAGATAGTCACAAAATTTTCTCACAAAGTCTATAGAAAATATTAGCTTTCAGGCTTAGGAGACCTTCCTGAGGTCTCCATAGGTCTTATAATCTTAGTTATTCCCTCACTGATTTAATCTGGCTAAAAAAACCCTTAGTTACCAGTGTAGAAAATTCCTACCTGCACAAATAGAATCATAGAATCATAGAATCGTTAGGGCTGGAAGGGACCTTCAAAGGCCATCAAGTCCAACCCCCCTGCAAGGAACAGGGATATCTCCAACTAGATCAGGTTGCTCAGGGCCTCATCCAACCGTGCCTTGAACGTCATGGTTTCTAGCACTGATGACATTAACAGTAATGACTGGAACTATTTGAGCCTTCCTGACCTGAAGAGACCAAGTCAGAACTAATGATATAAAATTAATGCTTCCGTAGACTTCTTTTACAATGCTGTTTGATGACAGACCATTCTACCTGCATTCCCAAAGGGCTGCACTGTCCTACATTTGTGAACCTGGATATGCAAAGCAATTAATGAATGAGACACTTGCTCATCTTTTTTGATACACTATCAAGCCAAAATCTCTGGCAAGGCAATGATCAAAATAAACCATGAGTCAAAAGATGAAGATGAGAAGGTGGTTCAATATCCTCCGTTGCCGCCACTTTTCTGTGTTCAGTAAACAAAATCCAAGATGTTCCTGAAATTTTATAGGAATAGCTGTAAAAATAGCTAAATAAAAAATTATTGTAGTAGTGGTATGGTAAAGTGTGTGCAAGTTACTGCTTTGTGGTTTTTGTGGGGTTTTTTTTATTTTCTGCTTTGTAGAGTTGCTATTCCTGTTTTATTTGAAACAAAATGAAGCAATAGGCAACATACTATGAAAGATGCTTCAGTAAAGCGCAGTGCCTCAGCCTGTTCCCTACTTGGTTACTGAGCTCCCTGATTTCATTAGGAGGTAGCTGGAGTCCACAATTGTCTAAGTAGACACAGAAGGGTTCTTTATGTATTGCTTAGTAGGAACATTGACTAAGCTAAGACTCTCAGAATTTGGGCATTAAATACTATAAAATAAGTAGACCCTCTTACCCCTGAAGCTACAGTGATCTTGTCTCCTAAGACAGTCTGGTTTTAATACTTAGCAATATTGCTCTTCCAAGAAGTTGAGATCCCTTGTTTTCAATGTTATCTTAGATATATATGTGTATGTTATGTATCTTTAGGGATAGCGCTGGCAAGATATGTGGGTTTCTGTGAGCTATTTACTAAGTAGTTAAACTGTGAAAATGGAGGAAACTTTAATTCTTTTAGCATGATGAAGTGTTTAAGTGGAATGAGAACATTAACTCAGCAGAAGAGGTGTCAGAGATATCAATTAAAGCTAAAGGCATAAGAACCTGTTAGCTGTGTTAGTTAGGTATTCAGAAACAGAAGTTGAAGAAAGCATAAAAGGCAAATAAAACAGATAAATTGCATCACAATCTAATCTCAAATGAAAATTTCCATGGCTCTTAGAAGAGAGTATCTGGGGATTTGCAATATAAGCCAATGTTGACAGATAGTAGGAGTAATTTTAAAATAGTCTAAGGAAGTGTGTAGGCAAGAGGAAGGAAGATGGAAAATTAGAAGAAGAAAAGATCTACATAAAGCATGGATGTACTGTAAGATGTGATGGCGAGGCAATATGTCAAAATCCCACCTTCATTTCTGTAGCCCTTTTCAGATCCTCTCTGATATGTTAAAAGTAAAACGTTTGTTTTCTGCCAGCCCTGCATGTACAACCTTTAGTCTAAAAAGTCATCTGGATTCTTTCTGACTTTGACATTGCCAGTTATAAAGACTGCATTTGAAACTCAGCTAACTCTTCTGCTAATGGTATGTGAGCTAGGAAAGAATCCAGCTCACTGTTGGAGAACTGTGTTAGTTCTGCAAATCCAATAAGAATAAAAGTACTAAAACCATATTACTTCTACATCAACAAAAGCAGAGCCTGGGAGAAGCAGATAAATAGTCATTTTGACATGGTCATTTGATCAGGACCAGGGAATAAAAGCAAATGTACCAATTGTATTCGAAGTGAAAGATAGCATATATGCAGTCTCTTGTTTTTCGAGTAGTTTCCCAACAATGCTTTCTGTGCAGTGTTTAGAGGCACTGGAACTTACAGGTCACTGCACAAGATGGAATGTTATCTGTGGTGGTCGACAAGCTAAAGGGGTGTTTTGATGTTAGAATTTAAAGTCTAAATTGGATGGGAGCAGGGAGAGGGAGAAGAACTTTTTGTGGCAAATTGATCTATTCCTTCATTTTAGTAGAACTGCTTGAAAGTTTGCAGGTTATCTTGTTCAAATGAGTCCTTCCAACGGAAATAAGTATGTGGCAGAACAACAGAGATTGTTATTGAAGTTCTATGGTAAATGGAGTTTCTAGTATGGATGTCACTTTCATATTACTAATGATTTATATCTACTATTACAATTGTTTAAATATTGGTCTCTAAAGTTAGGTACAAAGCAGTGTAGATCCCAACACCACACTGAAAGTGATAGACTGGAGTAGGTACAGCACTACTGAGTGTAAGGTGTGTGCAGAGCACTGGTAGGACCTTTGGTAACGTTAGGCAGCAAGCACATGTGCTTTGCCCTACTTCCCTGAATACACAGAGATCATACTTCTTAGATTCATAGATTTCTAGGTTGGAAAAGACCTTAGAGATCATCCAGCCCAACCGTCCCTAATCCCCCATTAAACCATATCCCTAAGTAGTTCATCCACCCTTTTCTTAAACACATCCAGGGATGGGAACTCAACCACCTCCCTGGGCAATTCGCTCCGTTGTGGACCAGCCCTTCCCCATGGGCAAAGGCTCCTTGATGAGTTCATTGGCAGATAGAAAAGGAGAAAGCAGTTGTCTGAGCTGTCTTTTAGCAGACTAAAAGCTATCAAGCAAATACAGGAAGTGACTTCTTAATCTGTCCCTTTCCTCTTCCTTTACACAAACAAGTAAGAAGCAAGTGGCCCTAAATTTGCGCTGCCATATCTTGTTTCTGGACTATTATTTTCTGTGAGTCATTCAGTCCCAATGAACTGCTGCTTATGATCCCACACTTGTCCTTATATGAAGTATAATGAATAATCTCTGACAGGTAAGCATCTCTCAGGTGGTCCTATACAGTGAGCAATCACAAAATGTCCACAAGGATTCTGAGACAAGTACAAATCCTCTGTTTATGCTAGTACTTATAATTTCTTTCTTTATTTACTGTGTAAAGTATAGGTGAAGAGGGCTTCTCTTTTGACTACAAAGTTGAACAAGCGCTGACAACTTTTTAAAATTCAAGGTAAACACTTACCTTTTCTTGCAGGCAAACAGTGGAACGTGTGACTTTACAGAACCAACTCCAGCAGCTTTTAGAAGCCCAGCGATCAGAGGACAAATCACTGCCCATATCCCCAAGGTAAGGTGACTGGAATTGTGGTGTAGACTGGATTTGCACAGTTTCATGGTACATCAGTTATCAGGAGAAGCTGTGACCTGGCCTAATAGATGTGTTTGGCTAAAGTAAATGTTTCTTTTACTTCATGGGCTTGAAGCTGAGCTTCTAGAATTTGACAGTGTATAATGTTGTATAAATATTGGAAATTTTGAGTATGAAATTAATAGTCCCTGTTTCCCAACAGAGTGAAAATCAGATTTACAGTGGAATAGAATATATTTTGTGTTAGATGAATAGCAGAGAATCCTAGAAACCCCTAGGAAAGTTGTAAATTTTGACCTTGTGGTGGTCTACTGCACATTACTGCCAGCTGTTATTCATAAAGCCAGTTACCAACAAAACCTGCTTTCAGATTAATAAGGCTCCTTACATTCATTAAATCTTTTCCCTGCAGTAGCTTGTATAAAAAGTCAAAACTCCAGAAATTTTATGTATTGTTTACCTATGCTGTCAGAAGTCCCAGAAATAGACACAAACTGACTAACATTAAAGAGGAGGAAAGTAAAGGCAGAGGAGTGGATCTAGAGTCTGCTAACATATCTCTCTGACTTCTACCATAGACCTCCAGTGTGATGCATGCAAGTCAAGCAAGCACATGACTTCCCTCCAATAGAAATCTCAAGAAGACTTTGAAAGGAACTAAGTAACTCAGATGCAAATAGGACTCAGTTTATTATTATCTTCCAATTCAGTTTCCTCTCTGCAAGACATTTACAGACAATATATCCTTGTTTAAGAGTTGTTAGGGAGCTACATATATGTTCGAGTATAAAGCTAGCCTAAAAACTTTTGCAGGCATTGATGCTCAAAGCTTTGAGTCATCAAATATGAACTCATAGGATCCATGACTGCCTTTTTTCCATTCTCACAGAATGACACTTTTCTGGACAAATGCTCCGTGTCGCTGAATTTAACCTGTCAGTATTTCATACAAGTGCAAGTAGTTGCAGAAGTAGATAACAGAGACATTAGGATTGGAGGTGCATTTGTGTAACGGAACTTCAGCTGGGAAAGGGCCATAAATTCCAAACT